GTCCTAATTTGCTATTGCTACATCAGCATAATGAGTCAGATTGAGGTCCTAGGGGAGAATAACAACACTTAGCACTTACACACCGCACTTTTCATCTTCAGGTTCCTTCACCACGTTGGGCTGTAATGTTATATTTCTCTCAGCAAGACAAAAGAGTTAATTTCGAGTCCTTTCAACTCCCCTTCCTTTCTTAGACACACACACACACACACACACACACACACACACACAGTTGTACACAACTGCCATCAGATGAGGAAGCTCTCTCTGGCTTCCTAGCTGTGCATTATTTGATATTTTTTTAAAAAGAAATCAAAGGCAAAAGGTCAATTTATCCTCCTCTTTTTTGTTTTTTCCCTTTTCCTTAAATCTGTTTTGTTTGTTTGATTTCCCTTCTAATATGGAACACAAAATCAGTACGCCGATTGGCAGTTACCGGAGTCCATTCAGCGTGACCACTAGGGTTCCCACACTGACTTGAGTTTTCCCGCCTTATGGTCTTCCGTGTCACCTTTGGCCACTAAGGAGAGTTGAACACTCTGTCTTAGAGGATTCTGAAGGATTCTGCCGAGTTCCATCTCTTTTCACTCCCGGCCCAGGAGATTCGAACACATCTCCTTTATTGAAACACCATCTATCTGCCATTGACTCCCAAATTTACATCTCCAGACAGGCCGCCGTCTCCTGAGTTGCAGACCTACATATTCATCTGCCCACTCAATCTCTCCACTTAACAAGTCTAAAAACAACCCCCTCGATGTTCCCCTTAAACCTGCTCCTCCCACAGGCAACTCCAGCCTTCCAGGTACTTCAGCCAAAAACCTGGTCCATCCTTGATTCCACTCTTTCTACTGCTCCCCAGATCTAAACCATCAGCTAATCCCAGACACTCCATCTTCAGCATATACCCAGAAGCTCACCACCCCCTTCACATCCACCTTGACCGATATGCCAACATCTTTAATGCAGATTCTGCCAACACTCGCCTAACTGGTCTTTCTCTGCTGATGCCCTCCAACAGTCTACTTTCAACTCCACAGCCAAAATGATGTTTCTAATATACAAGTCAGAGCCTATCACTCCTCTGCTCCAAACTGTCGTAGGGTTCCCCATCTCACTCAGAATAAAAGCCAAAGTCTGCAGGCCTTCCCGGATCTTCCCTCCCACACCTACTCTTTATGGCTATTACATACTCTCCCTCCAGCCAAACTGGCCTCTGTGCAATTCCTCCAACCCACTGAGCATCTTCTAGCCTCAGGGCTTTGGACTTCTTCCTGTCTCCACTTGGAACACTTTTCTCTCCAATGCGTTACCTGGTCTAAGCCTTCTCCTCCGTCAGGTCTGTGTGGCATGTCCACTCACCAGCCATGCCCTCCCTGACTGCCCTCAGCATTACCTGTGCCCCTTCCCTGCTATATTCTTCTCCATAGCACTCATCAGCTTCTGTCATGTTACATATTTTATTGTTACCTGCTTCTTGTTTGTCTTGCCCACTAGAAGCAAGTTATATGAAAGCAGTGTTGTTTTATTTTCTTTGTCTTACCAGATTTAGTCAGCAGCGTATTCACCAATGCCTTGGACAGTGCCTGGCACACGGTGGGCACTCAGAAATACTTTCTGAATGAATAAAAAAATGAACAAAAGTTTCTCTTCTGGTTGAGGACATGGACTAGCCTGACTTCTAAGCCATATACAAGCTTAAATTTGTGATGCCTGCTAGTGACGGAGGCTTTTCCAAAGGGGAAAAAAAATCTCTTATTAAAGAGTTTTGAGGCTATGAGCTTATACTAACATGGAAAATAGAGGCAATTGTGGAATGTGTTGTCTGCTATGTCTAATATGGACAGATATTAGGGCTTTTTCCAATGGTCAAACCTGCCTTTAGCCTGTTCTCATTCTATACACACTTTGTGATGCTTTTGGAAAAGGGTGTTGGAATTAGAGGTACTCTGTAGAACACAATTCTCCCCCATAGACAGCCACATGGGCTAAGCAAGGATCAATTCTCTATTTGCTCTTTAATAGAATTTTCTAGACCAAACTACAGCTAGAAATTTAAAGATGGATGGACGGACCAGCCCAATCTTGCCAATCTTTTTGTATAAGTGCTTAGAAAGTTCTAGCAAGAACTTTGTTAAATAAGTCCTTCAGATAAATAAATCCATCTTCCACTTAACTAAAACTTGCTGAGGAAACCAACGCAAGTCTTTTATTAGAAAACAAAGAGGAAAAGAAATCAGAAGAGAGCTGGAGACATCGAATCAAAAAGAAATAATTACCTGAATGTGGAGTGAAAGGGAAGCAGGAGAAGATAGCATTCAGTGGTAATAAGGTATGCATTGAATCAAGTGTTGTATTCCCACTTTTTAAGCAGGGAACAAATAAATGAAGTAGGAGGTGGGGTTGACAGTGTGCCAGGGATGTTGGTAGCTGGAGAAATGTGGACCAAAGGGTGGGTAAGACTATACTGGCAGATTGGAGAGCATCTCCTAATCATTTCCAGGTCCTATGGCTTCCAAAGAAATGCTAGAACAGAAGCCACCAACACAGCCCATTTGGCTGCTGGGTGAGGCGCATGCATTGGTCCTCAAGAAGATGCCCTCTTGTGGAGCCCTGGGCACCCAAGGCTGAATTTGGCCCATCTGGTTTGAACCAGGCAAGGGAAGAGGATACCTCAACAGCCTGAATGCTGTCTAACGTCCAATGCACGCAAGAGATGGTGGTCTGCTGAGAAGCCTGCCCTGAAACCATGGGGAAAGCTGGCTGCAGGATCTCCCCTACCAATCCCCATCAAGAAGCCATCACATGGCTAAGAGCAACACTTGAAAGAGAGAAAGTACCTTTTTCTACAACTATCATAGTCATCTTTTTCAACTTGGCTTGCCTAATTATCTTCATCTCTAAAGTTTAATTATTGGGCTGTCGGAAAAGTCATGACTCATTTTTGCAATGAAAAACATAGAAAAAATACGTCATGACTTTTCCGTCCACCCAATATTTATGCTCTTTCTCCACTCATGAGGAATCAAAAGCAGGTCTCAAAAAACATATAGCATGAAAATTGTTTCTTAAATGAAAAATCAGGACCAGAGGAAATAGAAGCTGGAACTGAAAGTCTAGTCGAGGGGCAGAAGCACGCCACCCTCATCACAGTGCTCTAAACGGTTCTCAAAGTTAAGCAGTAAATTTGAATGAATGTTAACCAAGCAGTCAATGCGAAAAGAGAAAGAGAGCCAGTTACGTGATTTTCATGTCCACGAGGAGAAAATATTTCAGTTCCTCGGGGGAAGCAAACTATTTCCTGGAATTCACATCTACAAGAATTTCCTCCCACAGGACATCATATAGGAGATCATGACTACTATGTACTGGAGACCATCTAAAACCACTCCCCTGTCATGGCTTCCTAACGCTGTCCTTGGTAAATGTCTTTAGGAAAATCAAAGGCATGCACTTCAGTTAAAACCATCCTATCAGAAGTGAAGACAATAAAGATCAAGCATACGCATTTTGTGCAGTTCAGTTTAATCTCAGAAGCCAACCTTGACTGTCTCGAGGAATAAATAAACTTAATCCCTTATGCTTTTGCATATGTCACGCCTACCAAGAGAGCTAAAGAAATTCGTTCCTCAATCTGAGGAAATGTACTGGACTTTTTGGGTTTTGGTTCTTCTTCCCCCTTGTTATTTTCATGTGTTTTTTGTTTGTTTGGTTGGTTTTTTTTAAAAAGAAATCAATTTCTATTGCCATGAAATAAAGAATGTGCACCTTTTATTTTTATTGAGTTCATTTTTTTTTAAGTGCCCAGAATAGTGTCTGGCAAATAAGCACTAAATAATTTTTTTTTAAAGGCCCTTCCTATCACTGGGGTGGTGGGGATGAGGGTGTCAAGTACGAATAACAAATTAATTACAAACAAATAAAATTTTATACCCCTCTTGTAACCTTCACCTATTTTCATGATTTTTCCTGAAGCAGTACAGACTGACTATAAGCACTTGATTATTGTGATGTGAGAAATTGACATGAAAAACCTGGTGGAGGGGGATTATTAAAATTTCACGTAGAGGAGGATTCAAAGGTTTTGAAACACTTAGAGAAATATCAGAACCTTTTAAAATTTCTTCTCCTAAGGGAACAGCTGGGACTTCAGCATCCATTACAACCTAGCTGGTCCTTCCTTTCAACCAACTTTCACATTTTAAGACTCTGTTCATGGAATGTGTCTAATTTGTCGTTTAGTACATTTCGGGCATTCAATAATGGTCTATAAAAACAAGGAAAAAATGCTAAAAAGCTTCATTATCACATTTACTTATGACCTCATTTCCTTCCCTTAATCTTGTAAAGTGACTTGAAAATGCCAGCACAACATTACAATAAAACTGCATATATTCTGGAGGGATTCATCAAGTGGATTTTCTACATTTGTAAGAACAAATAATGCACTCTTATAGTACACCTATTTGTCTCAACAGCAACAGATGTTCAATAATATGACCAGGAAGTAACTGTGAACCTGGTGGAGATCTGATGGAAATCAGACGGTTACAATCTGGGCCCAAATCGGAGAAAGCCCCTCTCCCATAGCTATGATTTTTCACCAGTTGCCTCTTTGACGCTTGTCTTCTCACCATCACGTAGGGTTTACTATTAAATACTTAGCAAAGTAAATCAACTAGTTTTGAACAGAAAAAGTCTGTGAGTTTATCTGACTCAGGTTCAAGAATAAGATAATTTTTTTTTTTTGGCGTGAATTTCGTATTTCAGATATCGGTTTTTCCCAGGATTTCTCTAGCTTTAGATTCTACCACAATCAGTGACCCATCCTTTCTTTTCTTTTCTTTTCTTTTTTTTAACATTAGACAAACACTTACAAATGGATCAAACACTGTTTAAAGGCCAGGCCACGTCAGCACAATCTGCCACCAGTTTCCACACAGAAGTTGCTACCAAGTGTTAGCGGAGGCACCTGTTAAGGGGTCTCCAAGCACACCTACCCGCTTGCTGCTCTCCTCCTCCTGAGCCTTCCGGAACTCGTGCTCGAGGGAGCAGTCCAGCTCATTGAAGAGCCCCACTTCCTCGCAGTTCTTCAGGAATCGCGTTGGGGTCGGAGTCTGATCTGCAAAAAGACCGAGTGATCACACATGAGATCTTTTCCTCAAAAGCCAGTGGCGAGCATGGGCTAAATTCACAAATCCCCTCCCCTCGCTTTAATTATGATGTCGACTGGCCATCCGTAATCGTCCAGACCGTTAAATAAAATGACAACATGGAAGAAAATAAAACCGTAAGCCCCAAAGGAGGAACGCAATATGTAGTAGGCTGCCGTATGTGAGGGCTTTCCAAACCTCCATCCGGGCAACTTCAGGAGACCCCACACTCGACTTTCCTGGGTCCATATCATTTGAATACTATTGCAATATGTGGAATGACTTTTTTTCTAACTGGGAAAAAAAATGATTTAGCTAAAATCAGGCCAAAAAATCTGCTCAGCCTATGGTAAGCCTGATTTCAGGGGGCTGGGAGGAAAACAAGATTTTATAAATTTCTGTATCAAGCAAAAAGAAACAAACGTGTTAACTCCTTTTTGTTAACAGACAAGAGAAATTTAGCAATTCTAGCTCCCATTTTGAGAGGGAGGCTGATGAAAGGTTCCAAGTAAAATGCATTTAGCTTTCGCCTGTTAAAAATATAATTAATTTTAGTTTCCTTTGCTATAAAAAGTGTTCTTAGGATACTCTTTAAAAGGAATAGAATTTCTTTCATATTTTGACTGTTCTGAGAATTTTCTACTTAGAAAACTGGAGTATCTGAAGCCACTATTTCTGGCTAGTATTTATTCAGTTTACAAAATGTTTTCACACACATTCTTTACAATCTAGATCTTGCAAGATCCTATAAGGTCAATAGGGAGAATTACACCTTTGTAATCATGTAGGACAGTCATCTTCCTAAGTAAAGGTGTATCTAAGTTGACATGAATAAAACTGTATAAACTGCCCCTTTCTCAGAAACAGAAGATACAAGAACCAGAAAGGACCATGGAGGGAAGGCTGACCGTGCCAATTCTTTTACAAATGAGGAAAATTGAATCCCTGAGTGATTAAGGGTCTTGTTCAAGGTCTCCCAGGTACAGGTGACAAGACCAGGATTAAAACCAAGGCCTCGGCGCTATTTCCACCATGTACATGTATTATTCCTACCTGAGCCTATGGCAGATACAGCTACATTGATTATGGCACTTGTCAGGCTCAAAATCTCTTTTTTGCACAGTTTTCTATGACATCACCACCAGTCAACTGAACAGTGCCCTGAAGTTGAAAGAAATTTGCCATTTCCACACTCCCTTTATAAACTCCTATATCACAAGGAACTAGAATTCTATTTACTTTTCTAAATCCTGCAGAGAGCAGTTAATCCTAGTAAATTATCCACTGAGATTCAAAGAAATAGCTTAATATCCATGACGCTGAAAATAGCTTGATATACCCAATCAGGGAGGCCGAGGCTATGTTCCCTGATTCCCTATGGGTAAGGGGCTTTCCTATCTGTTAATTTGGATTTCAATGCAGCAAAATCCCCACCTGCATTCTTCCCCATTCCTAGCCCATTCTCAAGATACTGAGTTCTCTTTGCAGTACACAGACAGCCTACCACAGATGATCATAATTGGACATTATAGATAGAAGATAGGCAAAGACAATGGTTTTATTGAGAATGGTTTTATTAGCACATTAATTTATTAAGATGTACACATATACACCTATGTATCCAATATATACATATAGCAGTTATGTGCTGTGTGCTAATTAAAGATAAATTAGTATTTATGAAGCCTTTTGCAGTTTACAAGTATAAACATTTCGTCCACATTGTCTAGAATCTAGCTCTCACAAGATCTATGAGATAAGCAGGGAACATATTATTATAGAAATGGAGAAATAAGTTAAACACCACACACAAGGTCACACAATTTAGTAACCATCTTATCACTACTAAGTCCTCTCTTACTTACGGACAGAATCCCTTCTCAGGCTAAGTCCTGTGCATTTCCCAGACTCTCCTTCCAGCTCCAGGGCACTCTGTTGTATGTGTAAAAAGACAACACTGACAACCCAGAAATCTCGATTTGAAATTCTGTTATTGGGGGAAATTACCTACATTCTCTAGACCTCATATTCCACATCTTTCAAATAAAGTTCTGAAGTTACACGATTTTGTGAATCCTAAAATCAACTCCATAATGGGTCTGCTTAATAGGTCAAAGAAACATATGACTCTTTAAAGGACAGCTCAATGGGAACACCAGTAACAGCTGTTAGACACTAGGAACCAGGCCAGAGGGAAGGGCTAGATAGACAGATAAGGAGTTTTCTGAACAGAAGGTGTAAATAGACAAGACCTGGGAGTGGAAATAAAAGTGTGTCTGTGAGTGTGTGTGTGTGTGTGTGTGTGTGTGTGTGTGTGTGTGTGTGTGCACGCGCGTGCACATATTCTTCCATTTATTGGGTACCATATTTCCCCATGTATAAGATGCACCCTAATTTTGGGGCCTGAAATTTGAAAAAAAATGTATTACATAAAGTTATTGAACTCAA